TCATTCACACTCATACACCACGGCGAGTTTACTTGATCAGTTCCCCTATAGCGCATGTGTTTGGACTGTAACCGGAGCACCCGGAGGAAACCCACACCAACACGGGGAGAACATGCAAACTCCACACAGAAACACCAACTGACCCAGCCGAGACTCAAACCAGCGACCTTCTTGCTGTGAGGTGATCGTGCACTGTGCTGCCCATCAGTCTTATTATTAACAATTAATAATTCAAAATGATAATGGGGTAAGTTAAATCAGTGTTTCTCAACCACGTTCCTGGAGGAGCACCTGCACTGCATGTTTTGGATGTCTCCTTTCTCTGCCATTACAGGTCTTTCGGTCTCTGCTAATGAGCTGATGATCTGAATCAGCTGTGTTTGGTGAAGGAGACAGGAAAATGTGCAGAGCTGGTGCTCCTCCAGAAACATGGTTGAGAAACACTGAACTAAATCTTCTCGATTTTCCTTTTGACACAAGATTACTTCACTTCCCCAATTGGTGAATAATTTAGCTTGATTTAATGAGAAACTCTCTTCATTTGGACTCATTATTTCTTGAAACAAGACTATATTTGGTGCTTGTCTTGGAAATGCTGACTGACTGAAGAGTTTGTAGATACTTGGACTAGAAACAAGACAAGAACTCTTAAGAAAAGCATTTTTGCAGTGTAATTATTGTGAAAAATGCACTTAATTGAACACAAACGACATCAGAGTTCATGAGCTGAAAAAACAATATCATATCAGTCAGAGACGCCGCATTAAACATTCATTTATTCATCATTTAAATACAAATGGGTCCAGCATCGTGTGTGTTTAGTTTGCTGATAAACACCGTCAGCTGATCTCCTGAATACTGCATGTGTCTTAACACACAGCTGTCACTGAGAGCACTACTCAACACACGCCAGACTCAACACATACAATAAATATAATAATAGAAGCAGAACGGTCCTGAAATACACACAGAATGCAGGAGATCTGTCACGGTATTGATGGAGTCACACGTTTATGCTTTATTAATACAAATGAACCATTAAATGCACAAATTAATAGGAAAACAAAAATACTATAGTAACCGATAGTAAATACTAAAGTGTTTTTGACCCATGCTGAAAGTGTATCATACTGTATATTATAGAATCGACTACTCTTCGTTAATTAATGTTGATAAATATTGTACTGTACTTTAGTTTTTACTACAGTAAAATGTGATGTATTGTAGAGTTGAGTCATGTGTTTATATTACTGTAGTTGTTGTGTTACCATAGCAACCATAGAATCATTACAACAGATCAATTATTGTAGTTGCTGTGTTACCATAGCAACTGTAGAATAACCACAACAGATCAATCACTATAGTGTTTGTTACCATAGCAACCATAAAATCATTACAATAGATCAATTATTGTAGTTGTTGTGTTACCATAGCAACTGTAGAAACACCACAACAGATCAATCACTATAGTGTTTGTTACCATAGCAACTATACAATCATCACAACAGATCAATTATTGTAGTTGTTGTTACCATAGCAACATGTTGAATTGCCACAACAGAACAATTACTGTAGAGTTGTGTTACCATAGCAACCATAGAACCACAACAACAGATCAATCACTATAGTTGTTGTGTTACCATAGCAACTGTAGAATCACCACAACAGAACAATCACTGTAGTTGTTGTGTTACCATAGCAACTGTAGACTCTCAACACATCAGTTACTGTAGTTGCTGTTACCATAGCAATTTAAAAAATTGAATAAGAAACAATGTATTTACTATATGACTGTAAATTACTGTCGTATCTTCACGTGTGCAGTGAGGTTTTAAAGTTATATTAATGCAGTTAAACGGACCAACTGCAGGTTTCTAAATATGTCCGTTGTTTAGCAAGACGAAGATGTTCTCACTTCCTCCATCAGACGTCTCAGTTCTGCAGAATCTCAGAAGTGAAACTGAGTGAAATCAGCAATTCTGACGGAGAGTTGAGTTTCAGAGCGGCCGGAAATCAGCAATACACACTCACTGCAAACGCAAGAGTCTGCACACACTTCTGCAAAACTCACAATACACACCTACACACCGTTTCCATACGATACCAATACGACAAGCACTCAGACGCAGAGCTCTTGTTTGGTTTTGCATGCTAGTTATGATAATGAGGTGTATTCTTATTTAATATCACACCGCTCTCTGGAATACTTGATTCTGATTGGTCAATCCCAGCATTCCGAGGTGTGTTATTCTCTAATAAAAAAATGATGACACTAATAATAAAGACGCATCTGGTACTACTGAACATCTTGACTGTTGACTGTATATAAATATTATGATTAGCATTGTTATTATTATTCAGCCTTAAGATGGCGCCAAACACTTAAGAACAGCGGAGTGAAGGTCGGTAATGCATTTATTGTATATATTACTATTATTAATATTATATATACGATAACGATAGGGCGTTAACAATAAGGTCGTTAGTTCAAGTCCCGGCTGGGTCAGTTGGTGTTTCTGTGTGGAGTTTGCATGTTCTCCCCGTGTTTTCATGGGTTTCCTCCGGGTGCTCCGGTTACAGTCCAAACACATGCGCTATAGGGGAACTGATCAACTACACTGGCTGTAGTGTATGAGTGTGAGTGTGTGCGAATGAGTGTGTATGGGTGTTTCCCTGTACTGGGTTGCAGCTGAAAGGGCATCCGCTGTGTAAAACATATGCTGGAATAGTTGTTGGTTCATGCCGCTGTGGTAACCCCTGAATAATAAAGGGACTAAGCTAAAAAGAAAATGATGTGAAAAATAAATGAATATGATAACGACATTCAGTTCGCTGTTCTTGACTATTTGGCGCCATCTTGTGACTGAATAATAATAATGTTAATAATAATGTTAGTTTAGGCTGTAGTGAAATACCAGCTTGAGCAAAAATGTGGGCAGTCTTACATCTTCAGTGAGTATGTTGATGACCACAGCAGACGTATTCTTAAATCTGATAATACAGCACAAGCATACTTCACTGTTAAATAGTATGTCAAAAATAGTAGAATAGTATGAGCGGAGTACTACATCGGAATTCATAGTATTCGAAAAACTGTAAGTGAGAACTCAATTGTTTTATTTACACATGAGTTTCACCAGAAAAAAAAAGGTCTATGGAAAAAACAACCTGGCATCTCTAGCTCCGCCCACGCCCCGCCTCTTTGCCCATTTATATTTGTGCATTCACACAAGGCTTCAGCGTAAACACTTGACTGAGGGCGTGTCTGAAGTTGAGGCTGATGTGCTCATCATAGCAGCGTCAACCAATGAAATTAGTAGGCAATCGACAACTGTCTGAGCTGGTGTATTTGCATACAGCGATCTGATTGGCTAAAGCTTCCGTTGGTGCTTGAAAAGTTGAGAAATTCCTAACTTCTGCAGCGAGCAACACCACTGAAGCGGCGCCGATAGATCCACAGTTCGGCAACGCTTGACGTCGTGTATGGATGTTTCCCAGTACTGGTTTGCAGCTGGAAGGGCATCTGCTGCGTAAAACATATGCCTGATAAGTTGTTGGTTCATTCCGCTGTGGCGACCCCTGAATAATAAATTGACTAAGCTGAAAAGAAAATGATGTGAAAGTAAATGAATATGATAACGACATTCGCTTCCCTGTTCTTGACAATCTGGCGCCATCTTGTGACTGAATAATGACAATAATAATGTTAGTTTTACAACAGTTCAGCAACATTCAAAGATACGCTTGATTAATAAATAAGATGTAACTCAATTAAATATACATATATATTTGGTCCAATGAGGCATGCATAAGTATAACACAAGCCACTGAACAAAGCAGACCCTCCGATAGTCCCTATAGCTGTGTTTACATCCAAACACCTGAGCAGACTTTACCCACTACAGCTCTTTACATCGTAGCTTATATCTGCATCATTTTCGAAGTGTCTGCACATCTTGGTGTTTCCATTGAGCATTTTTATGCAAAATTCCAAAATGAGCATCCAAATATGTTGATGGAAACAGCTGTTGTATAATTCACACACTGAGGATGAGCCCTTCTGAATGAACTGGAGTGTGCTGCATAACTAGTGAGAGCTGAAATAGCTGTCTAAGGTGTGTTTAACTGATCTTTCAGGATAATGTCCTTCAGAACTGAAACGGGACAGCCATTTGCATCTGATGCTTGACTGCACATGATCTTCCTGTAATCCAGCATTCTGCAATCCCTCATCATACCTTTGTTCTAATTCGACAACAAGTGCCCTGCAAAGTGGACATTCCATGAGTTCAGTTTTGATCGCAGTTTAGTTTAGGACCAGTGTTAGGAAACGCTGCTGTAACCACAGTGTTGTTGACGCTCTAGCGGACGGAGGCCCAGCTGAAGGTGCCGATTGAGATGAGTGTCTGACAGGCGCTGGAGGAGAGCCACACCGTCTCCATCAGACTGAAGTGAAGGAATCCCAATGCAAACCCCGCTGCCACGTCTGTGAGGTGATGCTGACCCAGCAGAACCCGGGACAGACCCACCAGTGCGGCCCACAGCACCAGCAGGACCCGCAGCGGCACCGCCAGCACCAGGTGGGACAGCAGGAACCGGGACACCAGCGCCGCCCTGCTTGCGTGACCCGCGGGGAATGAGTATCTGTCCAGAGCCACACAGTCCAGGAGCCCAGGGCTGATGTCCCATGGGCCTCTGCGCCGCACTAGCTTCTGGACCCCCGCCACCGTCAGCACATCCAGAACCAGACCTGGAGGAGAAACAACAGACGGGACACTGAGAAGAAGAAGGCACTCAAGAGTCTCCTGTGTCTCTGTCAGGACAATCAGGACTATATCCACTCAGAAACAAAGACTAACACTGGTTTCTGAAACGGACTCTCCTTGTCCTAGGTTAAGGTTAGGCACAGGCTGGATGGTACAGGTTGGTCTAAGGTGGGCTAAGTTAGGCACATGCTTGTAGGAGTGAGTAGAATTAAATTGGGGTTATTGTTAGGCACAGGTTTAGTGGTGTAGGCGTGGTTAAAGGTTAGGGTTGGTCACAGGTTTGGAGGTATGGGTATGTTTAAGGGTAAGGCATGGTTAGGCATAGGTCTGTTGGAATGAGTAGGGATAGAGGAGGTTTTGGTTAGGCACAGACTTGTATAAATAGGGTTAAAGGGTAAGGTTCAGCACATGTTTGCTGGTATATGTAAGTTTAACGGTGGGGTAAGGTAAGGCACAGGTTTTGGTTAGACAGTTTTAGTGGTATAGGTAGGTTTAAGAGTAGGGAAAATAAGGCACAGTTTTAGTGGTATGCATAGATTGGGGTGTCCAAACTCGGTCCTGGAGGGCCGGTGTCCTGGAATATTTAGCTCAGGGGTCACCAAACTTGTGACTGGAGGGCCGGTGTCCTGCAGGTTTTAGCTCCAACCCTAATCAAACACACCTGAACAAGCTGATCAAGCTCTTACTAGGTATACTTGAAACACCCAGGCAGGTGTGTTAAGGGAAGTTGGAGCTAAACCCTGCAGGGACACCGGCCCTCCAGGATTGAGATTGGTGACCCCTGGTTTAACTCCAAACCTAATCAAACACACCTGAGCCAGCTAATCAAGCTCTTACTAGATATACAAGAAACTTCCTGGCAGGTGTGTTGAGGCAAGTTGTAGCTAAACTCAGCAGGCCACCGGCCCTCCATGACTGAGTTTGGACACCCCTGGCATAAGTTTAGGAGTAGGGTAAGATTAGGGACAAGTTTAGTAGCACACCTAGGTTTGAGGGGATGTTAAGGTTAGGAACAAGGCACAGGATTGTTGGAATGAGTAGAGTTAAGGGTGGGGTAAATTAGGCACAGTTTTAGTGATATGCATAGATCGGGCTGTCCAAACTCTGTCCTGGAGGGCCGGTGTCCTGAAGAGTTTAGCTCCAAAACCAAATCAAACACACCTGAGCCAGCTGATCAAGCTTTACTAGATATACTAGAAACTTCCTGGCAGGTGTGTTGAACCAAGTTGGAGCTAACCTCAGCAGGACACCAGGCATCCAGGACCTTGGAGACCTGGAGTTTGGAAACCCCTGGCATAGGTTTAAGAGTAGGGTTGGTTAGTCACCAGTTTAGTAGCACACCTAGCTTTGAGGGTATGTTAAGTTTAAGAACGAGGCACAGGATTGGTGGTTTGAGTAGGGTTAGATGTGGGTTATGCTTAGGCACAGGGATGGTTGTGTAGGTAGGGTTAAAGCACAGGTATTAAACTCTATTCTTCCAACCCTAATCCTACACACCTGATCAAACTTTAGGCTTGTTTAAAACCTACAGATAGGTGTGTTGAAGCAGGGCTGGAACTAAACTCTCTGGGAATTGAGTTTGACACCCCTGGATTAAAGGGTAAGTTTAGGTGCAGGTTTGGTGGTATAGGTAGGTTTATGGGTGGGTTCATTTAGGCAGAGGTTTGGTGGTATGAGCAAGTTTATATTAGTTTAGTTGAGATTAGGCACAGGATTGTTGATATAGGATGATTAATGGGTGGGTTAAGGTTAAACACAGGTTTAGTGGCGTGTGTAGGTACCCAGATGACCTACTACATTTGCTGAGATGCTGAAATATGCATCGACTAGACTCTTTAGGCCATGGTAGAGAGTTTATGGATGTAAGTGAAGAGACTGATGAAAAACACACACAGTCAGTTTAGTCTACTCCATTTAGTTCTGCTGTATATCTTTATAACATCTTTTATTTCACCAAACTCAGTGTGTCTCGAGGCATTTCAGGAGACCTTGAACTCAACAAAGCAATCTAAAATAAATGATTGAAATAAATGTATTATAGACATACTTTAACAGAAAATTAAAATCCACATTACAATGATAAGGGAAAGGATAACCCCAGAAGTGAAAGCTGCAGTAGTGTGTAGATGTGGCATCTCACCCATCAGCAGGTTGATTAGGACCTCCTGTCCTGCCGGTGTGCTGCTCTGACAGAGGCACAGCAGCGTCCCGCAGACCCAGGTCAGGCCGTGTCCTGTCAGCGCCAGCAGGGAGACCACGGAGCGGCTGCTGCCCCAGGAGGAGGAGCCGTGCCGGCAGACGCCCAGACGCTTGGACAGGCAGATGTCGATGGCCAGCAGTGAGCTGACGGCGATGCCTCTGAAGGACGGGTTGAGCAGCATGCAGTCCTCATCCGGCAGTCGGCCTGCTTCCCTGCGTTCCGCTGCGTCCGGCGAGCTCTCGCTCGGGGGCGTCTGTGAGCTCTGCGGGCATTTATTTTGTCCCGCTCTTCTGGATCCTCTGCTGTTTTGTGGCGGGACGTTCAGGGACAGAAACTCAGGGCGACCCAGAGCACTACTGCCTCTGTCCTTCAGTCGACAGCGACTCGAGTTCAGACGCATCCTAAGGTTCAGTCCTACAGCAGGATGAAGATATTAGGTAAGAGATCAAGACTATCAGGAGGTTGTTGATGCAGGGTTATGCATGGCTATCTGGAATACTAAATGCTGATGGGTCAGTTGTAACATTCCATTGTAGAATATTCCCAGATAACAACCACTGAATAACACTGTCTCCATGACTTGACTGTCTCCATCTAGTGTCTGGATAATGTGCAGGTTAGTGTATACTCCATCAGCTGTTTCTGACTGTTTGTCTCCATCTAATGTCTGAATAATGAGCAGGTTAGTGTATACTCCATCAGCTGTTTTTGACTGTTTGTCTCCATCTAGTGTCTGAATAATGTGCAGGTTAGTGTATACTCCATCAGCTGTTTCTGACTGTTTGTCTCCATCTAGTGTCTGAATAATGAGCAGGTTAGTGTATACTCCATCAGCTGTTTCTGACTGTTTGTCTCCATCTAGTGTCTGAATAATGCGCAGGTTAGTGTATACTCCATCAGCTGTTTCTGACTGTTTGTCTCCATCTAATGTCTGAATAATGCGCAGGTTAGTGTATACTCCATCAGCTGTTTTCATATTGTTAGCTTTGTGTTTAATTAAAGGATTAATAAACTATTACAGCTCGCACCAATGTTTATGTCTAATATTTATGGTTTGTGGTCAGTAGCTGTGAAATAAATGGGACAAAGTACATCAGAACAGTTGATGTAACAGAATAAACACTTCAGTCTTATTTAACAGCGCTTCATATTGAAAGTATTCACTGACAGTCAAAGGTGATTCTCAATTCCTGGATGAGTCTGTGTTATTCAGCATTTGTTATCTGGGAATAACAAACCTTGGAATGTCATGACTGACCAATCAGAATCAAGTATTCCAGACAGCAGTGTAATCTATATAAATATATAAGAGATAAAATACATCCAGGAGGTTGTTATCGCAGAATAAAGCCCTACAGGTTTATCCACGGAAAGCTTTGTTCAGAGAAAACAACTGACTGGATGTACTTTATCCTGCTTATTACACTACTTGCCATAAACGAAACGTAAAAAACTATACACAAACATTGTCCTAAGCCAAATGCTGTAAATAAACTCAAATAAAAACAGTCCTTTTCTGTAGTTTTCGACAACTATAGGGTATATTATACTACTGTAGTAAAAACTAAAGTATTTATTACAGTCTATGAATAGTTCATACTACATTATGATGCAGCATTTATTAACAAAGAGTTGTAAATACTAGAATACTTACAGTGTAATACACTTTACTATACTATGGTTAAAACACTATATTATTTACTATATATTACTGCATTATTTTTCATGTGGGGATTTAGCTCACTTCTAGGCCCTTTAAACGTCATTTGCAAGCACACACACACACACACACACACATATAATCTTCTTTGGGGATTATACGCTCATGGCTGATCTCTGCCAGCATAATGATGAACAACAAGGCGTTTAAGCACAATAAACAGAGCAATGGCTGCAGTCAGCCGCGGGTTAGCGGTGTAGTGTGAAGCCTGATCTTCTCCTACCTGAGAGTCTGCTGGAGATGAAGATAAGATCAGATAATGATGATCTACAGCTTCACTTCACGCGCTGAAAACACATTATATTCAGTGTATTTGTTAGCTCAGCTTCAGCACCAGCCGCACTCGCTCACAGCAGAGATACCGATGCTACTATGGGGAGGGAGCGCGCGTGCCTTATGAATATTTATCAGCACTCAGTAGCCCTGCTGATTGGCTGGATGGCAGGATGCTGACGAATGAGATCATGGCTTATTAACATAAGTATGATCACGTGACTGGATGCTTCAGTAATAAAGCGTCCGTGACGTCACGTGACTTCATGAATATTAATAAGCTCTGCCTTCGCCGTAGTAGTACTACTCTGGTCAGCATTTTGCTGCTGTTCGGCGTTCTCCAAGGTGCTCAAACACAGACGTTTGTAAGTTCATCACATCATTTATACGATAAAACGTGTTTTTCTAAATTCGTGCGGTATTTCTGTCTGCACCATTTTACACTCTTGACTCAACAACAAAACATACAAGAAACCCCAAACTGCAGACACGACATAAAACATTTCACACAGACAAAAACATGACAAAACTGAACAAAACAAAACAAAAAATGGTCAAAATAGACAAAACTGTTTAATTTTGTTCTTCAGTTATATACTTCATATATATATTCATTCAATTATTTTCTTTTCGGCTTAGTCCCTTTATTTATCTGGGGTCGTCACAGTGGAATGAACCACCAACTTATCTAGCATATGCTTTACGCAAAAGATGCCCTTCCAGCCGCAACCCATCTCTGGGAAACATCCACACACACTCATACACTACGGACAATGTAGCCTACCCAATTCACCTGTACCGCATGTGTTTGAACTGAATTGAATATATATCGTCACCTTAGATCAGGGGTCACCAATCTCGGTCCTGGAGGGCCGGTGTCCCTGCAGGGTTTAGCTCCAACTTGCCTCAACACACCTGCCTGGATGTTTAAAGTATACCAAGTAAGACCTTGATTAGCTGGTTCAGGTGTGTTTGATTAGGGTTGGAGCAAATATCTCCAGGACACCGGCCCTCCAGGAACAAGATTGTGACCCCTGCCTG